TCCACCTACATCCCAAAAGACTGATGCAGCTGAGCATTTGATTGTGGACCTCCCTTCTATTTCCGGTGTAAAGGATGCAAATGGGTGTTCAAAAGATGAAGGAAAAGAACAAAGAATGACTCGCGCAGCCCACAGACGCAAAGAAAAAGAACAACAAATGACAGACCACCCGTTAACATCTGACAGTTCGCTACCTGCTACTTCTGAGCCAGTAGGTGGCGCTCGACCCAAGGTTTTTGTTAAGTCCTACACTTCAAGTATCGCTATAGGATTGAAATCAGCCAATGCTTAAAATTTCATCTTGGAATGTGGGGGGGCTTAATACACCCCACAAAAGACGCAAGGTTTTTCATTATTTAAGACATTTCAATAATGATATCACATGTCTACAAGAGACTCATATTGTGGCTAAAGATCAAAAATTATTGCTAGATTTTAAGCTTGGAGATTTGTTTGCTGCACCTGCTCTTAAAAAAAAAGCTGGGGTTGCATTATATATAAAGAAATATTTTTCACCTATCTTAAAGGAAGCTGACAAAGAAGGAAGATTTTTATTTGTGGAAATAAACTTAAATGGAAGAAAGTGTTTAATAGTGGGGGTTTATGCCCCCAATCAACTGTCATCTCAAAAACAATTTTATAGACAACTACATCAGAAAATTGTGGTTATGGACTATAACTCCTTGATTGTTATGGGGGACTGGAATGGGGTACTTGATACTTTAAAAGATAAAAAGACAACTTCTAAGGATGCGGCCCTTTCCAGACTCCCTAAATCTTTTTTCGCAATGATGGAAGATTTGGAGCTGGTGGATGTTTGGAGATCACAACACATGAATGAACGTGATTTTACTTTTTTTTCTCATAGACATGAGTCTTTTTCAAGGATTGATTTTGTTTTGACATCAACTGACTTACTCACTGCTTGTAATAAAACAAAATTTTTTCCCAGAACTTTGACTGACCATAGTATGGTATGGTTAGAGATTGGTCAATAAAAAAAAAGGAAATCTTGGAGAATAAATGAAAATTTGTTTAACTATGAGGAAAAGGTCAAAGCTCTGAAGGAACATATGAAAGAGTTTTTTCAATTTAATTTGAATAAAGGTACTCCTATACATATTGTTTGGGACGCCAGCAAA